GGGTGAAGGCCTGGGAAGGGGGTGGGAGGGAAGTGGAGGGGATCAATTGGGGGGGGAAATGGTATACCTGTAATACTCTCAACAATAAAGATAAATTAAAAAAGAAAAGAAAAGAAAAAAAATGTTTTTAAAATTTAATAAAAATTAAAAAGAATAAGGCTCAGAGTTTCACTAAACTACTACAAACTTAAAGGAATGCTTAATCTTAGGAATTTAATTTAATCCTAGGAAGTAGTTCAAAACCTATTTTCTCACATTTCAAGCAAAACCTTAGAAAATGTTCCCAAGTGAATCTGAACTAAAATTTGTTTAGTTAAACTTTTGATTTAAATTCTTTCTGAGGAATGGAATAGCAGAGAGAGTGGGAGAGGAGGGAGGGAAGGAGGGTGGGAGAGAGAGAGAGAGAGATTACCTTTTCTGCTTGAGATTTGGGAGCAGACATCTTCTTCCATTCTGGAAAGAGGCCAGATTTATCCAGAGAGTCTCTCCTATAGGTAGATACAGAAGTTATAACAAAATCACCTCCTCCCCTTCCTCTTCTATCTAGGGACCCAAGCTCTAGGGAAGGAGAGCCACTGGCTCAGGGTCATTGTAGTCACTAAATCCAGAAGGTAACCTTCACATCAGATTTTCCTTGAAGGAATGGAGATGATCAGATAAGCAACTTTGCACGAACGCAAACATACCCCCATTCCTAAAGGAGAGCAGCATCTGTTGCTGCTGGCCCAGGAACACTCCTCCAAGGCACAGCAGCCTGTGGAAGTTAGCATGCTCCTGAAGGCTGTGATCAGACAGCAGTTGAAGTGCTACTGAAAGACTTGTGACAAGGTCAGAGAGAAGATTTCATTCTACTTGCTGAGAAGTCAGGAACACTGAAGGTATAGGAGCCCTGCATCCTGATGCTAGAGAATAAAATGAGAACTTGGGGGGATCTCACCTGAGATCTGAGTCAGCCATGTAGCTATCTAGACTCTCACTCTCAGCCTCCAGTGCACTCTTTCCACTTTTCAGCTTGGGCACTTCAAACGGCACACTAGAATAAAACCCAAGAGCCAAGGTATAAAGGAAGTGGGTTCTTCTGCCGGTCATCAGGCTTCCTTCCAACCTATTCACAATGGTAGCCTAAGTGATCTTTCTAAAATAAATATCTGAGTATACTTTTAAAACTGTTCGGTGGTTCCCTATGGCTATTGGGATTGAGTTCAAACTCCTTAGCATGTCAAGAAAATCCCTATGACTTGACCCCTGCTCACCTCTCCAGATGCATCTCTCACCCTCCACCTTGCCTTATACTTTACATTCCAGAATGATGAGACTCTTTTGGTTCCCTGAATATGACAACACTCTCCCTCTTCCCTCTTTTCTCTGCCTGGGATGTTCTTTTCACAATGGCCATTTTTCTTAATCTGGCTAAATCTAATCCTTCAGGTCTCTCCTTATTTGTCAACCCTTCCAAGTCTCTCTGGTCATAGCACTACAAATCTGCATTAGTAACCTTCCTATGTGCTCTTAAGGCACCCTGATTTCTTGGTAGCAGTCATCACATATCTAATTATTTGTTTATGTCTTTTAAAGAAATTAATTAATTTGTTCAATAATTTAAACAAATGATTTGTTTAATGTCTTTCTCCATTAGACTAAGTTCTGTGAGATCAGTGAGCACATATCTTTTTCACTGCTGTGTTCCCAGTGCCTAGAAGAGAAACCAGCATCGAGTGAGCACTCAAATATTTGTTGACTGCATTCTTGACTAAATACCCCCAGTAGTGCTTAAAGTATATACATAAATAAGCAATATGGTTTGAAGACAATATTCAGAAGACCAGAGTTCTTTTTCAGCTTAATGAAGGATGTCCCTAAGCATTCAAAACAGCAGCCCTAAAGGAAAGAATATAACTCCTGGGCCCTTTACCTTAAGGAATTTGTGAGAGCAGTAAGAAAAGAAAAAAAATTATTTTTCCTCAAGTGTCTGAAGTAATAGCATTTGGCTGCCAGGACACCAAGCTCTACTGGTCCTCTGACCTCAGTGGCTGCTGCTCAGTCTCCTGTGCTGGTCTTTACTCATGTCCTAGACCTATAATCTTTAGATGTGTCCAGGCTTATTCCTTGGACTGCTTCTCTTCACTATCTAGAATTATTACTAAATGACCTTATCTAGTCTCATATTCTTTACAAAATCTTTATGAATTAATAACTCCTAAATTTATCTCTTACTCAAACGTCAGACTTATATTTCCGAGAGCCTACTTGACATCTCTGCTTGGATGTTCAAACACAGGAAGTCCAAAGCCAAAGCCCTAATACTCCCCCAAACCTGATCTTCCCTCGATCTCATCAAATGGCAACTCCCTCCTTTCATTTCTCAGGTCAAAAATTTTAAAATAATCCTTTACCCCTCTTGTTCTCTCACAATACAAATCCAATGTGCTAGCAAATTTTCTTGGCTATATCTTCAGTGTATACCTAGAATCTAACCAGTTCTCATCCCCTCCACTGCCATTACTCTAGTCCAAACCACCATCATCTAGCTCCTGGATGGTTGCAATAGCCTACTGAACTCCCTACTTCTGCCCTTGTTTCCACACAACCTATCCTCAACTCAACAGCCAAAATGAGCTTTTAAAATACAAATCCAATACAGAATTACCATATGGCCCGGCAATCCCACTCTTAGGTATATACCCAAGAGAACTGAAAACATGTGTCCACAGAAAAACTTGTACACAAATGTTCATAGTAGCATTATTCACAATAGTCAACAGGTAGAAACAACCCAAATGTCCATCAATGGGTGAATGGATAAATGAAATGTGTTCCATATATACAGTGAAATATTACTGACAGTAAGAAGGAAGTTCTGACACATGCTACAACATGGATAAACCTTGAAAACATTATGCTAAGTTAAAGAAGCCAGACATAAATGGCGACATTTTGTTGACTCCATTTATACAAAATGTTCAGAATAGACAACTCCACAGAGATAGAAAGCAGGTTAGGGGCTGGGAGAAATGGGGAATGACTGCTTAATAGGTCCAGGGTTTCTTTTTGGATTGATGAAAATGTTCGAAAATTAGATAGTGGTGATGGTCACACAACATTCTGAAAGTACTAAAAGCCACTGAATTGTATACTTTTAAAGTGTTAAAATGATCGATTTTATATTATATGAATTTTACTTCAATTGAAAAAAAGAAAAAATAATACCACATCACTCAGAGCCCTCCATCTCACTTGGAGTTAAGAACAGAGCCCTTATAAGTGTCAACAAATCTTACATGACCTGCTTTCCACCCCATCTCCGTCTTCATATGCTACCACTGCCCTCTTCTAACTCAGTTCCAGAACACTCAAAGATGCCAAACACAAACTCACCTTAGGATCTCTATATCTTTTGCTTTCTCTGACTAGAATGCTTTTCCCCCAGATACTCTCAGGGTCTGCTCCCTCAACTTGCTTCACAACTTTGTTCAAATGTCATCTGGTTAAGACTTTCCCCTAGGTATCCTTAATAAAACAGCATATGCACACACAGGCTTTCCTCGCACCCCGCATCCTTTTAGTCTACTTCATTTTCTCCAAAGCAGTTGTCAACATCTTATATATATTTACTTGATTATTTGTTGTCTGTGTTTCCTACCGCCAAATTTAAGCTCCACAGCAAGGGACTTAGTTGTGTTTACCAGTGTGTCCCACTGCTTAAAACAATGCCTGGCAAATAGTAGGCATTCATAGATATTTGTTAACAAATGAACGAAACTGTAAATGAACAAAGACTGAAGTAAGCAAAATCTATGTCTTAGGCAGTAAACAATAAACTTTACAAGTTATCACATGGTGTTTGAGATAGCTCTATGAAAAGACAGGAGTGGTGGAAACCCTAGGGCATGCAAGAGGTGCAACAGCAGTCATATCTTTCTTTTCTTTTTTAATATATCTTTATTGACTTCAGAGAGAGGAAAGGAGAGGGAGAGAGAGAGATAGAAACATCAATGACGAGAGAGTCACTGATCGAGCCCACAACCCGGGCCTGTGCCCTGACCGGGAATCGAACCCCGATCGCCTGGATCCTAGGTGGACAGTCAACTGCTGAGCCCCGCCCGGCTGGGCAACAGCAGTCATTTCTTAAGAGATGTATTAGCTTTATAGTCCAAGACACATCAGGGAGCCTGATTTTATTTTTACTTTAGAATTACTCTTTTCCCCCCTTTGCTCCATAGAATAAAGAACCCAAAGCGGAACCAATTCCTCTAGAGAGGTAGTTTAACAGTGGTCCATGGAGAGTGTTTTCTGCTTGTATTTTCCCCTAAAGATTAATACATAGAGATCCAGAGCTAATACAAACAACCCTAGGGCAAAAAAGCAATTATTTGACATCTGTGCAGTAAAAACATAAACTAAGAGATGGAGGTCCTGGGCTCTAACTATCTGTATGATCTTAAGTAAATCACTTATCCTGCCTTCTTTTCTGTAAAAATAAGGGGGTTGAATTAGATTATCTCTGAAGCTCCATAATTTTATGGAAAAGATCACTTATGGCCACTTAATCTGTTTTCATGTTTAGAATGAATAAGTCTTCTGGGTCCACTGAGACAAGAAGTCATAGACAGCCAGAAGCAATAGGATTCAGAAATTACATTCTAACCGATGATGTCAGATGTGTTAATCAGGTTCAGGAAATAAAAGCCATTCTTATCCTTACCCACAAAGGAAAAAGGGGGCCCCATCACCTAAAAGAGATGAGTCACCCACCCAAGGCTGTGTGGATAAAATCACACTACATACACTAACTCCTCACTTTTTGTCATCGTAGGTTCTTGGAAACTGACTTTAAGTGAAACGACATATAACAAAACCAATTTTACCATGGGCTAATTGATATAAACAACAGTTTAGTACTTATGGCATATTTCTGGTCACAAAAACACCACCAAACTTCTAAATAAAGATCCAAAACACTTCTAATATTACATTGAAATAAGTGTGAGCTATGCATACATTTAAGAAAGATTAATAAAATCAAGTAAGATAGCCTAGCCGGCTTGGCTCAGTGGTTAGAGCATTAGCCCTCAGACTGAAGGGTGCTGGGTTCAACTCCAGTCAAGGGCACGTACCACGGTTGAGGGCTTGATCCCCAGCTGAGGTTGGGGTGCATGTAGGCGGCAACCAATTAATGTGTCTCACATCTCTCTCTCTCTTCCCCCCCTTCCGCTCTCTCTGAAAAGCAATGGAAAAAATATTCCTGGGTGAGGACTAAAAACAAAAACAAATAAACAAATAAAAAGCCAAAAACTCACCAGCAGCAACCAAATGAGGAAAGGAGCAAAATCTCAAGTCATAAAGTTCAAAAGATCATGGCTAAGAAAACAAAAGAAAGATTTAGCTCAGCAAAACTCTTTCCAATGTGGAGATGTTCGGACTGAGTGAGTGTCTAGGCAGCCCTGGGATAAGTCAAGGAAAACAGAGTCCTCCAGATTTATAGCCCCAGATATCCCTGGGGGACCCCAACAGAGGCAGACAAGACCACTGGGGTATGTCATCTCTCAGGGCACTGGTATGACCTAGAAGACACATCCAGAGCTGGGTTGAGTGAGTTGGGGCATTTAAGAGAATTTCAGGAGACTGAAACCCTTGACCCCTAAGTTGCCTTTTGCCCCTCCCCTAAGGTTACAAAAAAAGAAGTATACAGAAAGCAATATTTTATCCTTAAATTTAAGTGTAGTTGGGAGTGGGGAAGAGATAAATTGTTTCAAGTTGAGGTGAGAAGCCTGTCGAGAAGAATTCACACACACTATATCAGAGCAAAGAAAATATATAGGCAGAACTTCCCATGTTAAACGTGAGTAAAACGAAAAGAAATGGTCTTGCAAATATATAAATATGCCATTAGGTGGGGGGAGGGGGTAAAGAAATAACCTGAAAAATGAACAAAGAACCCATTCTGGAGAAGATTATAGCCCTAGGACAATAAGTAGCTCTCTTGTGAGTCTTTAACACTGCACAGGAATTGAATAAGAATATAGGTTTGATAAAGCGCGAGAGTTCAAATACAGGCTGATAAAGTAACAAAATTAGAGGAAAAGGAAGGCTGAGAGGAAAGAACAAATTAAAACCTAAGTAAGACCATTCATTCAAATAAGTAAATTAGAAACATCGAAAAGGAAGGGAGGGAGGGAACAAGGGAAGGAGGGAGAGAGAAACTGGCTAAAAATCAAAGTAAGAGCACAGAGGAAAGGGTTGGGCTAATCATGCTTAACTGCATTCATCTTTCTCTTTTTTCTCTTGCATTTCATAGTAAAAGAAAAGGGCAGAAGTCGAGGATAAGGAAATCTAACGTCCCTGAGGTGGAGGACTTAACAAATGAGACAGAAAAAGAGTTCAGAGTATATGGTACAAAAAAATTTTCCAGCAACAAAGAAAGAACTCAAGGGTACGTCACATATTTGGGAAAGATACACCACTGAGACATATCCTTGCTAAGTTACTAAACTTCAAGTAAGATAAAAGGAATTTGTTCAGGCAAGTGTGCGCGTACACACACACACACACACACACACACACACAGAGTAAGTTACCTACAAGGGAGAAAAACAAGAACTAGCTAGTTAGCCTAAGACTTCTTCACAGTTACATTCAGTGGCAGAAGACAATAGAGTAATGTCTACAACATGCTGAGGGAAAGAAAGTGTGACCCAAGAACATAATATCCAGCCAAGATATCGTTCAAGTATAAAGGCTCTAGACAAACATTCTTAACATGAAAGACTGAAATAAAAATGGCACCTGCAAGCCCTTCTTGAAGGAATTCCTCAATGAAAAAACCCAGGTGACTAAGAAATAACTAAAAGTAAAGAATTCAGAAATATAGAGAAGTCGTACAATGCATGGTTATAAGCATACAATCCTTTTAATATGAACTAAAACTAAGCCAACAGATAAAACAAGAAAGATGATTCATGATAGCATAATGTAAATGCCATAATAATTTCAGTAATAAAACTTGGAAGGAGGGGAAAGAGTTGGGAGGAAGTATAAGAAATCTAATCTCTTTCATAGCAGAGAGTCCACTGAGGACGTGTAGCACTGTAACAGGTAGATTTAAAAAATGACTGACTGACTGACTGATGCAGCAACTCCACTCCTAGGTATCTACCTAAGAGAAATTAAAACATATGTCCAAACAAAAACTAGTAATGAATGTTCATAACAGCATTACTCACAAGAGACCAAAAGTGGAAATAATCCACATGTCCATCAACAGATGAATGGATAAACAAATGTGTATCTATATATAATGGAATATTATTTGGCAAGAGAAAGAAATGAGGTGCTGATACATGCCATCACATGGATGAATCTTAAAAACATGTTAAGTGAGAGAAGATGGTCACAAAGGACCACATATTGTATGATTCCATTTAAATGAAATATCCAGAATAGGTAAATATATAAAAATAGAACGCAGATCAGTGATTACTTAGGGATAGGGAAAGATAGTGAGAGCTAAGGGATACAGGCTTTCTTTTTAAGGTAATGAAAAGTTTTATAATCAATTGGGGTGATGGTTGCACAATTCTGTAAATATACTAAAACCCACTACACTGAACACTATAAATGGATGAACTGTAAGGTATGTGAATTTTATCTCAAAACGTTTTTTAACAAAAAGACAGAAAAAAATTAATAGCTGCTCAATATTTTCATAATATTTTTTACTTAAGCTTAGAGGGATGTTAATGACTAATATCTTTTATGGTAAAAAACATTTGTCTGAGGATCAGCAATTCTTCAACTTTATTTCTGTGTTTTATTCTGATACATTCAAGTAAAATTAAACAAAATGTTTTTAGTTTAATATATTATGATCTAATATTACAAAGTTTTTTCTATGTATCCATTCACCCATCCCCCTCTCTCTCTATTGGCACAGAATATATCTGGAATAATTTTCACATAATGTGAACACTGGGAAAGTAGGAATTTAGGTGATTTGTTGTTTTCTTTATTGTTTCCTATACTGATTAAAATTTTAATAATGAGTGTGTGTTATTTGTACATACCTTCAAATTGTCCTTATAAAGTAAATATGCCAAAGTGTTAACGTTTACATATGGGTAGTAGGATTAGGAATATTTTTTCCTCCTTTTTTAAAAAAAGATTTCTATTGATTTTTAGAGAGAGAAAGGGAAGGAGAGGGAAAGAGAGATAGAAACATTGATGAGAGAGAAACATGGATCTGCTGCCTCCTGCGCGCCCCCTACTGGGGATCAAGCCCACAACCTGGGCATGTGCCCTGACCGGGAATCAAACCAGCAACCCTGTGGCGCATGGGCTGATGCTCAACCAATTGAGCCACATAGGGCAGAGCTTTTTCTTCCTTTTTCATTCTTTTCTGTACTTTTCCAGTTTTCCTATAATGAACACCTATTATTTTAGAAACAGAACAAAGTAAAAATAATAGAATTAAAGAGGTGTGTAGCAGTTCTTGAAATGATTGTTTGGTTCTTACCTAGGCTCCTTCTTTTGCTCCTGAATGATCTTTCTTCCTGGCCAGACATCACTCATCTGTGACTGATGAAGTATGGACTGTCCTACAGTCTCTCTTTTATTCACTTCAAGACAAACAAAATCATGGCAGGGTTGTGGTGATGAGGGGGAAAACGGAAACACGTCGCACTTGCAAAAGGGATGGCAATATAATCTCTATATTCCCCACAATCAGGTTGAGCACATGAAGGTAAGATACCACCAATAAGAATACACAAGGATTTCACACCAGAGGATCAATGACTCAGGTCAAACGCCTCAAGGAACCACCTCGAGAAAGGCCTGGTACCTGCAGGTTTGCAGCGCAGGGACATCCTGATTATCTCACTGCCTGTGCGGTAAGCAAAGCGATTCACTTTCTGGTCATAGAACCAGTCTCCAGTTGCCTTCTTCAGCTCTCTGGGGAGGAATAAAAGAAATGACAGATCGATAAAGAATGGCCCTTGTCACCCAACCAACGAAGGCTGAGGGGAGAAACTCTCACCACAGCCAGGGCCTCATTTCCGCTCTCTACTCAGCCATAGGTGACACTCACATCTCTTTTTCGCACACCTTGCACCTCCAGGTCCCACGGCTTTCATAGATACGGCAGTCCCGGCACACCAGGTGATTGCAACCCCGACAAGTGTTGGTCTTAGGAGTCAAACGGCCCAGGTCCTCCTGGCATCGGGCACAGGTCCGATCGCTATAGTGTTGGCTGCCTCTCTTGGCGCCCTTCCTCTTAATCTCCAGTAACTCATTCTTCAATCGCCTGCCGAGAGCCAAAAGAGAAGTACAAGTGGATTCAGGATCTGCATAGGTTAGAGAGGGGCTGTGGGACAGAGACAGTAAAACGATTTAGTTCTGTGAAAGCAACCACCTTGGGGCCCAACCTGAGCCAATGAGGAGCTGTAAACCTCATACACAAGTTCCCCTGAAAGTCATAGGAGAGGTGTAAGAAAAAGTCTGGATACCATTGGTCAGAGGCCTGGGAACCCATGTTTTTTCCGGGGCTCTTACCTAATCCTTTTCTCATCTGCTTTCTGGAGCTCCTCATCTCGCTGTACAACATTCAGGATCGAATCCCTTTCCATCTCAGACAGAAAAGAGAGGTCAAGCATCTCTGACATGACTAATTCTATTTTTTTCTTCTATTCTTCTTTCTTCAAAGCGACCAGACTAGGAGAGCTACCAGAGTTGCCTGAAATAAGGTAAGAACTAATTTTACATGGATAATTTACTCCAGAATAGGCCCACAGCCCTAGAGCCTTTCAGTAGAGTCCTTTCCCCTTGAGCCAGGTTAAAGAGATGATGTATAAGTATCTGACCTATTTACCATTCCTACCCCCACCTGAATCCTACCCTTAAAATCAAGAGGCTTTGATTTTTCTAGAAGAAAAACTTATTCATGACTCTGGGGAAGGGTTGGGTCTTTCAGCATAAGCATCTTGGTCAGGAAAGAGCTCAGACTAAATGAGTCTAACTCCCCCCCCACCAAGCAGATGCTCAATCATCCAATTTTCAATACTTTAAATGTTCTCAAGCCCCAAGTCTATTAATGCAAAAAATTAGACAGCTGGTGTCTGTAGTGGAGTAGAAAACCACATGGGGACTCCTGCCAGCTGAAGTCCATTTCTCCTTTCCTGACCAGCTTCCATGTTCCCAGGATTCAATCAGCTTTCTGCTACATTTCAAAACTTCCATCACCTACTCTACCTCCCAAAGTTGTTATTGTGAACACTACCTCAAGGATACCTTCACCCATTTCATGCACATTTGTTGAGCACCCACTCTGACAGGCATTAGGCAAAGTGCAGGAAATGGACAGATGAGTAAAACAGTTCCTGCCCTTAAGAAGTTCACAGAGTAGCAGGGGAGACAGATACACATAACTAAAGTACAATGTACTAAGTGCTATCAGAGGGATAATAAATTAAATGCTATGGAACTTAGAGGAGGAAGTAACTAATTCTATCTTGCATAGAGAGGGAAAAGAGAGCACTGTATACATGAAGGTTTTACAGAAGAAGTGAATTTTGCCTTATAGAACAGAGTATATGTTTGTTGGTGGGGGAAATGGTAGGAGAGATAGGTCAGGGCCAGATTACATAACTCTCAATACTCTTAACAATTAAGAATTTTAAAATTCATTATATAGACAATAGAAATCCATCAAACATCTTTGCTGTTGCTTTGTTTTTTATATTGGGAAGTCACATGATCAAATTCATTTTACAGAGATCACTCGAGCTGTAGTATAAAAGACTGATTAAAGGACAGACTGAAGCGCAGTTTAATAGTATACAACACACTGTAAGATATGCATACTCCTTAGTCAAACAATATCACTTCTAAGAATCTACCTAATAGAAATACTCACACAAACATGCATGCAGGGGTATATGTACAAGAATGTTACTGCAACATTATTTGCAAAAGAAAAAAAGTTATTTAATGGAGAAATCATTAAACCAAATAATACTTCCATATAACAGCACAGTATGCAGCCATTAAAAATGTGATAGAGATCTATATGAAAATATATCCCTGAGTGAAAAAATAGTTGCAGAACGATACTGAATGATCTCTTTGGTAAAGTATTTATTTAAATATTTGTATAGGCTATAAGAGAAGAAATGGGTTCAGAAGTAAGGAAAGAAGCATAGTTTTAGTTATATTGAGTTTGTGCTGCATACAGCCTATCCAGGTAATTAGACCCAGGAAGTTGGAAGCACAGGGCTGGACCTCAGGAAGAGACTATATCTGAAAATATATATTTGGTAATCATGGGAGTGAGAGCCCAGGAGAGAGAGAGAGAGAGAGAGAGAAAAGAAACGAGGTTCATACTTACCTTCTCTGCTCTCCCTTGAAACTAGTTAACAAGCCCTTTTCAATTTACTTTTTTACTAATTATCTACTTGACAATAGAAATATAAAGACAGCAAAGCTATACAGCTTCCTGAAACCTCAACATTTTCTCAACTTAGCTATTTTCTGGTCTTTATTGAACTAAGCCTGCTTCCTAGGCCCTTTCTTACATAGTCTTGAGGAAATCATCTCAGTTCCTGCCCCCAAAGAGAATATAAACTCTCCATAAGAACAAGGACTTTGTCAATTTTATTCTATGTATCTGGACAGGCACTAACACAGTACTTGGCACACCGCATTGTACATGCCACCACTATTATTCATCATCACTGTCATCATCACCCCAACAGTTCCATTTATTGAGAATTTACTCTATTCCAAGCAACAAGTATTTTACATATATTAACTAATTTAATCCTCACAGCAACCCTGAGAGTGAGGTACTATTATTATCTCCATTTTATAAATGAGGACTCAGGAGAGGTTAGGTTAATTTGTCCATAAATAAACAGCAAGTAGGTGAAGTTGCTGGAATTCAAGCCCAGGCATTCTGATTCTAGAGCTAGTGCTCTATTGGCTCAAATCAGGCAGGATAATGGCAAAAGCAATTATAAAATATTGAACAGAGCAATCAAATGCATTGTGGAAATGAATTCTGATATGTGTGATTATGGCTGAAGCACTGGTCAAAAAATCAGCAGCTCCTAGATAACACACGTCTCCTCAATTTCCTGGTCTCCAAAATCAGCAGGACCCTCATTGTCACCCATAAATCTTTTTACTTGCCCTAGTTCAGTTTCCTTACCTAATCTCTTCAGGCTCTATTTTAAGACTTCATCTCACACTCCTCCCACTTTCCATTCCCCAAGTCCTACCAGACATCCTTATCTCACAATTGTTAAAAAAAAAAAAAGTTTTTAGTGTCTATCAGCCATGACCTCCCTTCTTCTCTCCTCCATCACTTGCAAATCTGACTCCTTTCAGATAATCCACATCCCATCCCCAGCCCTACCTTCAACCATGGGTTGTTTGGATTTCCAACACTAATCCTGTTACCAGCCAACTAACTAAGGATGGGATCTTGCAGAATAAGTAATGTGGAGAGGAAAACTGAATAAGAAAAACACTTTAGAGGCAAGCAGAAAAAGGAAAGCACAGGAAAAAAAAAATGAGGCAAATAGAAAGCAAAAGGTAAGGTAAAAACAAGTTTCAATATAACAATAAACATAAAAAGCATATATTAGCAAAACTCACCCTTTAAAATAGAGATTAACAGACTGGATAAAATTTAAAAATTCAGCTATGGTGCCATTTTACAAGGGACACATCTAAAACATAAGGACAAGGAAAGGTTAAAAGTAAAAAAAGTGGAAAAAGATATACCAGATAAATGCTAACCAAAAGAAAATTGAGGTAGCTATATTAACCTAAAAAGTAAAACTTCATGACAAAAACATTACAAAGGCTAAAGAAGATCACTACACAGAGTAAATAAACTCATATGCACTAATAAAACACCTTCAAATATATAAAGGAAGACTACAACTAGAGAGAGAAATTGAAAAATCGATCATCAAAATGGGAGATTAACATACCTCTTTCAGTTACGGCATGCACCACTTAATGACAGAGATACATTCTGAGAAATGTGTCATTAGGTGATTTTGTCATTGTTCCCACATCATAGAGTGTACTTACACAAACCTACACACCTAGAGTTTACTACACGCCTAGGCTATGGTATAGCACCGCAGTCTGTCGTTCACCGAAGCATTATGTGGTGCATGACTGTATTACTAGTACAAGTAGATAAAAAATCAGTAAGCCTATAGACAAGCTGAACAAAATAAGCTTGATTTAATGGGCATATGTGGAATTCTATATCCAGTTGGAGGATTACATTCTTTTCAAGCACATATAGAACATTTATCTCCCCAAATGACCATTGTACTAGGTTATAATGCAAGTCTCAGTAATTTCAAAGAAATCATTCTCATATAGACCATGGTCTTTGACCCCAAGGAAATTAAATATGAATTCAATAACAAAAGATATTTTTTAATCCCAATATCTTTTGGAAATTTAAAGACACTGCTTAATAATTCATAGGTCAAAGAACAAATCATAATTGTACTAAATCTATCATTAACATCTTCAAAAAGAAACCTGCTGCCTGCCTTACCAGCCCCACCACCCCCTTACCATAGGATAGAATATTTTCTAGAAACTCAAAAGGGGAAATATAGAATAAAAATAATGCTTTTGTGCCCTGGCCATGGCCGGTGTAGCTCAGTGGTTAGAGTGTAGGCCCGCATACTGAAGGGTCATGGGTTTGATTCCTGATCAAGGGCATGTACCTGGGTTGCTGGTTCCATCCTCACCAGGCCGTGTGCAGAAGGCAACCCATCAATGTGTCTCTTTCACATTGATGTTTCTCTTTCTCTCTCTTTCTCGTCCCCCCACATCCTTCCACTCTCTCTAAAATCAGTGGAAAAAATATTCTTGGGTGATGATTAATAATAGTAATAATAATAATAATAATGATGCATTCGGCCTGGCCAGTGTGGCTCAGTTGGTTGAGTGTCATACCGTGTACCAGAAGGTCCACGGTTTGATTCTAGGTCAGGGCACATGCCTGGGTTGCTAGCTCCATCCCCAGTAGGGAGCATGCAGGAGGCAGCTGATCGATGTTTCTCTCTCACATCGATGTTTCTCTCTCTCTTCCCCTCCCTTCCTCTCTAAAATCAATAAAACACATTTTTAATAATAATGTTTTCATATGCAATGAGTTATGTGATACATTTTTATGGTAAATGGTACATCACATTTTGAAAAATATAACTCATAAAAATAAGGGAAGCACAAATAAGAAAACCAAGCAGATTTGAAGTTAGAAAACTTATGACCTTTCTTATTCTCCCAATTGACTGACACTAGGGTTTAATGGAGAAACCAAAGCCCAAGAAAACTTAAGGCCCTTCACTGAAATTTACTCACAGGTGTACAGTCAAAAGGGCAAGCATTATAAATAAAATAAACTAATAAACAAAATAGAAACAGACTCATAGATACAGAGAGGACTGACAGCTGTCACAGGGGAGAGAGTTGGGGGCTGGGGTAGAAGAGAGAAGGGATTAAGAAAAAAAACCACCTCAGACACAGACAACAGTAAGGTGATTGCCAAAGGGAAAGGGTGGTGGGGGAAGGTAGAAGGTAGAAGAGGGTAAAAGGGGGATAAATGGTGATGGAAGGAGACTTGACTTGGGGTGGTGAACACACAATACAATATACAGATGATGTAGTATAGAATTGCACACCTGAAATCTGTAAAATTTTATTAACCAATGTGACCCCAATAAATTAAATAAAAAAATATTTTAAAAAGAAACAAAAAAATAAAAGGGCAAGGATTATCTACTGAGAAAACCACAGCTCAGATTACATAAGTGTCCAAACCTGACCTGTGATGGACAATTTGTTCCATGTTAGTGGTGGGGTGTCAAGTCCTTGTGGGACTTCATGCCCACAATAAGATATTTTAGAAAAGATGGTTTGTTTAGTTAGAAAATTACATACATCTATTTCTCAAACTTCAGGATAATATTTTAATGCAAATACTTACAAAAGGAAGGGGGTACTGAAAAATATACCATCAGAATGGGAGGTTAACATACCCTACTTAATTACTGATCATACAAGCAGATAAAAATTTGTAAATATATAAACAAGTTGAATAAAGCAATAAGCTTGATAATGAACACATGCAGAATTATATATTCAAGTGGATATGTCCCATTTATACCCTAATCCTATAGATTAGGAGATAATTATAATTAATAAATGAGCATTAACACTATCACCAACACAGCTAGTTTTCATGAAGGAGTAAGGAGAGTTATTTCAAATCATTTTAAATTCTGAAGACCAGTTTTTAAAATGCAAACTGATCCAGAGCATGCATGAATGAATACAGTGGTGTAAGACCGACTTCGGTTCAAATCCTAGCCTTTACATTTATTAATTATCTGACCTTGGGCAAGGACCTAGAATATAAAAAAAGATTAGACATAGAACATAGAATACACAGAATATGGAATTTCTTGTAAGAATGGTACTTAGCTTAAAAAGAATTGTTGGTGTTTCCCAAATGGAAACTGATATGAGTTAGAAAAACACCAAATAACTCTGGCTGGTGTAGCTCAGTAGGTTGGAGAGTTGTCCCGTGCACCGAAGGGTCACAGGTTCGATTCCAGGTCAGGGCACATACCAGGTTGTGGGTTTGATCCCCAGTTGGGGCATGTACAGGAGGCAACCAACTGATGTTTCTCTCTCACATCGATGTTTCTCTCTCTCCATCTCTCTCTCCCTTTCCATACCTCTCAAAAACAAAAAACAACACACAAAAAACAACCCCACCAAATAATGTTCCTGTACTGGGCAAGAAATAACAGATTTTGCTGTGTTTAATTTGTTGGGCAAATGGGTACCCTTCCCTCTCCCAAATGTGCAGTACACATATAAATGTGAAAATGGTAATATTTATGCTCAAATTAGAATCTTCTACCAGATGTGACTTCCTTGAGAGCAGCCACTGTATCTGGGCTTCATACCCCTAGGAGCTTACTTAGCACAGTGTCTGAATCACAGTATGAGTTCAATAAATGTCTTTACCCAGATACCTATTTGTATTTATATGTTTAAACTTAAACTCACAGAATCTGAAGAGTGGTAATAGAGCTGAGAGAAAGGTGGTTTTGTTTTCCTGAGGCAGTATGGTGTTTTGGTTAAGAACATGAACTCTGGAGTCAGACTGCCTGAATTTTGAATCCCAACTTCGCCATTTACTAACTGTGTAAACTTGCACAGGTTACTAACCCCTTCAGTGCCTAAATTTTCTCATTTATAAAATGAAGATAATAACTTGGGCTTGTTATAAATATTAAATGCATTTTAAAAATATGTAAAATGCTTAAAGTAATGTGAACACAGAGAAGGCTAAGTGTTGGCTATTTTTGTCAGCTTTTACATGTACATTTGTGCTTTAAGACTTAACTGGGTCTTACATAATGACATTTATTTACTTTTAAAGAATATAGATGAATTGTGAGTAAAACTGCATCTAGACACCATTTAAAGTTTCAGGCATTTTTTGAAGTGAAAAAACTATGCTTTAGACAACTTTAGACATGACAGAAGAATTTCAGAAAAACTGATCCATGCTCAAGGGTAAAACAACTGAACTTATATTAAATTATTCATCTAAACTCAGAGGTAGTAATTATGCAGTTGTTTTGCATATAAATTATATTGGATTATCAGGCACATCCCACCAAAGTGGTGCAATAAAAGCACTTTATTGTTTGGGCCAAGGACAATGGACAATTTTGGTAAAATGTATACCCCATTGAACATGAAAAAGTGAACCAGAGTCTTTCAAAGGATATTAGTTTAACCAAGAAGCCTGAATTAAACTGCTATTGTTAAGCAAATGACACTATGTTTTATACAGAAACTGATTAGTGATCTGAGAAGATAAATACCGCTGGGTGTCAGATTGTGCATACTTTTGAATATAGATCATTAGAACTGATCCAGCTATGTGAAGAAGCATGATGATGCCCACAATTCTGAAAGATTAGAACTGAAATCAGGCTACAAATTATGACTGCTTGTGAAAATTTGGGATTATAAAATGTCAGCAGACTTGTACTTTTGGCTAAGGTGGGGTAAAAAAGAATGGATTTCCACCCTGTGGGGAACAAGACCCCTCCCCTGCTCAAAATGGATAAAATACATGAAACAATGGTGGTTTCCAAGACACTGAACGTCAGACAATAAAGGACTGTGATTCCTGAGAGACAGGAAATAAATAGGGTGAGCCCTCTGATTTTCCAGGCTTACTGTCTTGAGACAGTTTGCAGGCCATTGTGCAGGGAGAAGGAGCATAGGCAGGGCCCGGTGAACTCCGTGAGTTGAGGTGACAGAGCTGAGCGTATGGGAAAACCAGGTGGCTACAGTTCATAGGAGACTGAGAACCGCACAGAGAGAAATCTTCAGAGAGCTGCAGAAGTCTCCCATGAGTATTCAGCAAAGGACTGATCAGTGCATGGCATGCCTGTAAGGACATTACCTATACCAGGAAAAGAACCAACTAGAAGGACTCAAGAGAACAGTGCCTGTCACACACAGGTCCAAGAGTAGTGCCTGTTCCACCAGCCAGACTGGAAAACCTCATGATTCACATGGCACTGGGCAGAGCACCCAGAAGGGTCCTGCCTTGGTAATGGGAAATAATTAGCCCTAAAATATGCACTGCTCTGGTCCCACC